GACAACTAGGCAGGCCATTATAGTTCTTCAAGGCTGTCAGGACTAAGTCGTTTATCTTCTCAGGAAAAATGGCAAACAGTAGTGATGATAATGATGATGATTATGATAATCACAGTAATAATGATTATGACAGTAAAATAAAATGTAGAAATGGTAAACCAACAGAAGACCGCTTAGAAAAACAATTTGCTCTTTTCATTACCTTCGTTTCCTGTTAAAAATATCGAGGGGTGTTCCGTTTATTCGGTTTTTTTCTTAAAATTGGCAAAAAAGGCTCGGTTCTTGCTTTTTTTTTCCTCTTCCTGTTAGCGTAGCGGAGTGTCTCACAACAGACCAATATGTAATATGGTTGGCGCGTATCCCACCACTTTACCGTTGCATCCATTTTTCTTAGGGTAGTCATACCTCAGTAGGCATCCTATTTTAGCTGTTTCAACCAAACTATTATGAAAATTACTCTCATATCTTTTTCCTCATTGAAGTAAATATACCTTTTGTACAAGGTCACACATTCATCAATAAGGTTTAGTTATTTTACCCGAGCAATGGGCGTCGGGTTTTCTCTATTATTTGAATAAATGCCCCTCGACTGTAAGTTTTCGGCTCTCTCAGCTTCGATCATAAAAATTAAAAGGCTCGCACAAAAGGTTCGGTTAACTTGAAGATAGTTTAGATCGCAGTTTTGTTAAACAACTGCTAAGCTTTGTTTGAATAACAGGTCCGATAAGTTTGACATCCGAAGTGATCTGCTCACTGTAATAAAAGTACCACGACCCAAAGAAGGTCTCAGACTTTATATAAGTGAAACGTAACTACAAATTTTGGTCAGCATCCAAGCTAATGTAAAACAGTTTAAAGATCTGAGAGATTTTTCGGAGTTAGATCTGATTTATGACAACAATGAGGAACTGCACTTACCCCTCTCGATCCAAGGAACACCATACCGGCAGCGATTTGTTTGGCAAAAATCACAAGATTATAGTTGGTTAAATCTTGAGCCCTACCATCACCAAGATAATACCGATCTCTCACTGCTCGGCATTTCCTCACATAACCAAGTAGGTCGCCGCATGGCATGTATTCCAGGATGAGAATTAGGTGAACTTGAAGTGACGTTAAAGAAAAAGAAGTGAAGGCTCATGACCACAATATGTATTAAAAGCTTCGGAAGAGGACTCATTTTAAGGATTTTCCTTCATGAGACTAATGTTACCAAGATTAATGATATTAAATACTCCGGTCGTGCGTCCAAGATCTTCGTGATCGGGCTATCGATAGATGTTCTCAAAGAGGAACAGCCTCGCTACCGCGCGCTCGCGCGCACACACACACACACAAAGAAACAAATAAAACAAAACAAAACAATAAGAAAAGAAACCACAAACTTCGTCCGATCAACAGGCCATTCTGGTTATGGAGCTCATAT